AACAGAAGTGTTTATTAACACATCTATCTCATATAGATACCACCGGAAATGACTAACTCTCAGGTGGCTTAGAATTCAAGCTTAACCACCGTCTTCGGGCAAAAGAGAGAAGGTGTGAGGGAGGCCAGTTAAAGGGAGGTGGCCAGGGAGACAAGAGTAAGGTTTGTTATGCAGTTTTCAGTCTGGCACCATGACAAGATTTTCTCGAGATTTAGAGTCATCTTCTCTTCCTGGTGCTACGGAAAGAGAGAAAGACAACCTGACAAATGAGGTTTTCTTTTATAAGTGTAAATTTCCCTTAAGGGGTAACTTCTACTCTGTTTTCAGAGTTTCTCCTATGTCTGCTGTTTCTCAAAATAACCAGATCAAAATAAGCTTTATGCCAAAGTGGTATGTTTTGGGATGGCATTTTCTGGTCTACAAGGAACTAGGCAGGACCTGAGTATGATGCAGAGACTGCAGATTTCTGTCTGAGATCCAGAGGTGCTGGGGGTGAGGGATGGACCGCTGGCTCCAGATGCATACTCAGACCCAGGACTGAAAGACAGGCCTGTGGTGCTGGAGAAGAAGCTCAAAGTGATTTTCTAAAAAAGCAGGTCTACCATCTGACGGTGGGGCAAAGGTGTAATGGCCGCCGTAAGGAGACGGTATCTTGAGACTAACAAAGCAGGCAGCTCCACAGAATTTAACAGAATTTCCTATAGGGTAACTTACAGGAATTTTGGGTCAGAGCAGAAAAGACAATCAAGCAGTCTGCCCAGACTGTTCCCCTCTACAGACTTCTGTTACACTACTTTTTTTTATAGTATAATTCATGTACTAATATTGACAAGACAGAGGGACAAAGAATACAGTAGTGCCAGCGGCCAGACCTCCCGGTGGTCTTGTGATAGATGACTTATAACCAATACTATCACCAGTTTGATATTTATCTCGGTTGTCATGCCATTCTGGCTGTTAATTACAGAAACAGTTATGGCTACCGTTTAAGAAACACAGGTAATCATCAATAAGGAAACTCTTATATGCTTGCTAAGGCTAGTGAAGTTGGTCAAAGGACACAGCATGAAACTTAAAAAATGAAATGAAATCTGGGACACAGAGATGAAGTTAATTTTGCTCACATCTACATATATACAGCCTACTCAGTTGACTCTATTTTATTTTCTTATTCCAGAAACGGGTTGCGTATAACCCATGGAATTATTTGGTAGGAACCTGAAACCCAGAGGAGGTAGACAGAGGAGAAAGAAGGTGATGGGAAAAGAGGGAATCGAGAGCCCTGGGAAGCCCGAGGCGAGTGATGGTTGTTTTGCCCGATTCCATCAGGATAGCTCAGGCAGGCTGAGAGAAAGAGAGCTGTGCAGAACCTGGGCTAGTCAATAAAACTCCTTGCAAATGACAGAGGACTTGGCAGAATGAAATAGCATGGACTTTGGCTTGAGCTTGCCTGGCTTTGAACCTGGATGAGCTATTTGACTTCTCCAGGTATGGGGTCTCACCATAGAGGAAAAGACTGAGACTAGGATCTGTTAGCATGGAAACTGTCAGTAGAAACTGCTCAAGAAATTTCAGTTTTCCTTTCTTTATCCAGGAATATATAATTGTGTGTTCCCAGAAGAAATACTCTTACAATAATTTAGATAGAAATCAATCATTGCAGATACTCAGGTTCTTTGGCCTCTGATCACTATTGGACGAGTGAGTGCTTCTTGTACAAGCTAAGGAAGCTGCATTGTTTTTTCTTCTCCCCACCACTTTCCATTCCTGTAAACATGGGGAGCAGTTATCCACTGCTCCCACGTTGGTATCTAACACAAAAGTCATTCCTCCAACCCTCCAGATAAAATACAGAATGTCCAGTGAAATTTGAATTTCAAATAAAGAACAAATAAATTTTAAATTATGTCTAAAATTTTGCATGAGACATACTTGGGCAAATTTAACTGAATATCATGTATTTATTTTTCCTAAATGTGGCAACTCTATTTAATCATTTAACCATAATTTCTGTTTTTCTCAGTATTAAACCTAAGCTCCTGTTTCGTAGGTTCTTTCGCAACCCATGGGTAGAAAAAAGATGGCATTACCAAGTATTGGCCAGGATGTGCAGCAACTAGAACTTGCATACATTACTGATGGGAGTGTCGATTGGTACCACCACTTCAGAATACTTTTTAGCACTATCTACTAACCCTAGGGCCCAGCAACTCTGCCCCTAGGTATAGACATAACAAACACATAGTCCACCTGAGGATATGTACAAGAATATTCATAGCAGCACTATCATAATAGTTCGAACTGGAAGCAATTCAATGGTAGCAATACAATGGTAGAATGAATAAATTATGGTATATCTACATAATAGAATATTATACGGCAGTAAGAATGAATGAATTAGCCCTGGCCAGTGTGGCTCAATTGGTTGGGAGTTGTTCCATACACTGAAAGGTTGCTGGTTTGGTTCCCAGTCAAGGGCATATACCTGGGTTGCATGTTCGATGCCCAGCCAAGGTCAGGGAGCATGAGGGAGGCAACCAATCTATGTCTCTCTCACACTGATGCTTCTCCCTCCCTCTCTCTCTCTCTCTCTCTGTCCCTCCTCCTCCATCCCCCCTTCCACTGTCTCTAAAAATACATATCCTTGGGTGAGGATTAACAAAACAAAACCAAAAAAAATACAATTTAGATTTAAAAGCAGTCAGGCAATAACACTCTTATGGTCCCTGTTACCACTCTCGCTTTTTGTGTCAACCCCTTTCCCTTAAGAGGCAGTTGGGCACTTATTTTTATATATATTTATCTTTATTGATTTCAGAGAGAGGAAAGGAGAGAGACAGAAATGTCAATGATGAAAGTCATTGATTGGCTGCCTCCTGCACGCCCCCTACTGGGGACTGAGCCTGCAACCCGGGCATGTGCCCTGACCGGGAATCGAACCGGGATCTTCTGGATAATGGGTCGATGCTCAACCGCTGAGCCATGCCAGCCGGGCTTGGGCATTTATTAAACATACAGATTCCTCAGTCCCTTTCCAGGGCTATTAAATCCAAATTTCTAGAGATGGGTCATTCTTAACAAGGTCCTCAGGTGATTCTTACCCACACTAAAGTTTGAAAAATAAAAGGAACATTTGTTCATTATAAGCAAGTTTCCTATTGGATTTAAATGACTTATGTCACACATGTTAGCAATCTGACAGTGGTTTTCTAAGACAAAACGTCTGTAGACAGAAACCAGTAGAAAATATTAATAAGACCCCATTCCAACCAGGACTACAAAATACTCCTATACAAAAATTTAAAAGTTTGTGCCTTACCCTGCACAAATTTAATTCACCTGATTAAGCAAGGCAGCACCATCCATTCTCATGACTTTTAACCATCGCCTCTCTGCTAATTCATTCTCTCGACAATATTGCACGAGGCATAGGAGTCCCTGGTCAGCCTTTACTACTTTTTCCTGTTGGGCAATAGTCTCCACTCCACCACATAGCCATGTTTTCCTGCCTTATCAACAAAAATATCATTACCCTCCCAAAGACTTTTGGATTCTAGTTAAATATCTTTCTATACCTTGCCGTTTCATACATGATTCCTGGTGTGATTTGACCGTATTTGTACCGCCTTCTCAAGCTGGCTGGTTTTCCCTTTGTGTCATAAGGCAAGTTCTTGATAACAAGTAGAGGCACCTTTCCAGGGCAGTTCAAAGTGCCTTGGATTTTATTATTCATGAGAATGTCGGTCCCTCTTCGTGGGCACTCAGCTGTTGGTGGAAGTCAGCTGGTAACAGTCACAGGTCTCACATAGACACAATCACTCCAGAAGAGGAGCAGGGCATGGTGAGAAACTAAGGAGATGGGTTAGGAAGGACTGAGGAAGAGGGAAGTGACACGGAAGCGAAGCCACCAGAGCCGCCTGCATCAGAATTGGCTCTTAAAAATTTTACACATGCAGGGTCCACCCCAGGCTACTCAATCAGAAGCAAAAAGCTGTCTTTTTAACCAAGCACTAAGGATGAACCTAGTGTGCAGCCAGTATAAGGTAGCAAGTTAGAATGTTTGCCTGGGGCCCTCCCTGGCGAGATCGCGGAGGAAGGCTGAAGGCAGCAAACACAGGGGCCAGCGGGGGGCAAAGGGAGGTTCCCTTGAACTGGTCAAGGGAGGTGATAGAAGCGAGCAGTGTTAGAAGGGACCAAGACTGTGGAGTACAGTATTATGGTCAGATTTCAAATAGTAAAGAAGAAAGTTTGAAGGTTGGTAATTATGGAAACAAGCACATGTTCTCTCTTGAGAGTACTGACTAAGTAGCTGCTCATGAGACTTCATGTGATCGCCAGGTGAAATGTAAAAAGGTAGGAGCCACTTGTTTGACAGACACTATTTCTTAGTGGTTTTTGTTTGTTTGTTTTTTGCAGGAACTTGAAGCCTCTTTTTTCAGATTCTGACCCAGTATCTTCACAAAAGGAAACTGAATGTTGTTTTTTCTAAGTAACTTAGGTCTTCTATTTAAACTTTAGCTATCAGGATATCACTGACAATTATGCAGTGAATGCTGACATTAGTTAGAAGCTTCTGTTTTAATAACAATTTTATGAAAAAGTAAAGAACTCTATCTCAGGGTTCTCTTAAGGAACAACTGAGCTAATGTCTGTGAATAGCTTTGTAAAAATTGATTATAATTGCTACTAAATAGAAACACTTCAAATGCAAAATAGACATTGTTCGGAATGGTTTCCTTGAAAATAGAAAAAAAAAATCATCTTGATGATCAGTGAAAAGGGGAAAAACCCCAGAAAAAGTGAGAAATAAATCTTCATCCCCTTTCGTTCATGGTTTTAACTTCCAGATACTGATAGCCTGGAAATGTTGTGCTAAGTTAGCTGAATGTGAGCTTCCTCCAACAGGACAGGTGTGATGAAATGCCTTCTCAACTGGTATCTACATTATAGCCAACCAATGCAGTTAGGTGTTTAATACTTTGTTGGTTTTGTTTTTACAGGCAGTGCCCTTTTGAAGTCATCCTAAAAAATGAATCCAGTTGTTTCACAGCCAAGATATGGTGCGGGGGGTTCGATGGTCAGTGACTGGCAAACCAGCACATTCGACTGCTGTGATGACATAGGGATCTGTAAGTGCACATAGTAATTGCTTTCTCCTTGACTACTTGTCATAATGCAGATTACTAGTGTCATAAAAATTGCTTATTTCTCCTACCATTGAGTTCCATGTTTTACTCTCTAACTCAGAAGTCACAAGCCGGAAGCCCACAGTAGATTTAGCCACTGGATGTGTTCTGTTTGTCCTGTACATAATGAGCCTTCTTGGTGTACCAATTTTAATATAGTAGGAAACATCTAAAAATCAGATTTCACACAAAAATCTAGCTTTCCAATCTAGATTTCCAGCTTCTTTTGGAAATTTGGAAAATTGGGAAAGATGAGTCCCCATTCTCACGTGGCCAACCCCATTAAAAAGGGCACTCGCTCTGCAGTTTGCCATGTTTATGTCCACCATCCACTATTTTGTGTGTTTTTTTCAACCTGTTTCACTCATTTATGTTACCTGCCTGGCCTTGAGTTTGTGATCCTTGTGTAGATCAATCACCTCTTTTTAAATTTCTCACCTCTTTACTCTCACCATGTTCTCGACTTGTTCCTCCCATCTCCTATTTATGCCTTCCTGTTCCTATGGTGCTGGCTGTGTTTTCTAGCTTTCAGTAATATTCTTCTGGCTGTTCCATTTCAGCAAGCATTGTAGATTTTTAACTTTACTGACTTCTAATTCTTTCACACTGCCAAACATGCTTTTGCATGAGGAAAATTTCCTATTTCAGAGCCTATCACCATATGAGTTGCAGACACTCTCTGTGTGGAGCATCTTTCCAGCTTTCCAGTGTCTTTGAGACACAGCCTCTTTTTAAAAAAATATATATATATGATGCAAGTTCCAGGTTCACTGGAGATAGCCTTCTGCTTAAAACAATCAATTTAAAAAAAAAAAAAGGACTTTCTTATCTAGGGTAAGAGTCATATCAAAAACTCTACCCCAGAACTTTCCAAATAGACTTTTACTCAGAGCATGTTTGAGAACAGTTTTCCTATTTGTTGCCATTTTCTTGGACCCTTTTTTTTGGTCTTATACAGATTCTTTTTTTTTTTTTTTTTTTAACATATCTTTATTGATTTCAGAGAGAGGAAAGGAGAGGGAGAGAGAGAGAGATAGAAATATCATTGATGAGAGAGTCATTGATCGGCTGCCCGGGCATGTGCCCTGACAGGGAATCGAACCCCGATCTCCTGGATTCTAGGTCCATGCTCAACCGCTGAGCCATGCCTGGCCGGGCCAGATTCTTCAAAGTGAAATTGCAGTAAGCTTTTTTTTTTTTTTTTTAAATATATCTTTATCCATTTCAGAGAGAGGAAGGGAAAAGGAAAGAGAGAGAAACATCAATGATGAGAGTCATTGATCGGCTGTCTCCTGCATGCCTCCTAGTGGGGATCGAGCCCGCAACTCACACATGTGCCCTGGATCCTAGGTTGATGCTCAGCTGCTGAGCCATCCAAGCCAAGCTAAGCTTTTTTTTGTAATATTTTTATTGACTTTTAGAGAAAAGGGAGAGGGAGAGAGAAACATCTATGTGAGAGCACAACATCGATCAACTGCCTCCTGCACACCCCCTACTGGGATGGAGCCTGCAATTCAGGCATATGCCCTGACTGGGAATCGAACCAGCAGCCTTTTGGTGCATGGGGCAGTGCTCAACCAGCTGAGCCATGGGACAGTGCTCAACCAGCTGAGCCACACCAACCAGGGCCTTTTTAAGCTTATAATGACAATAGCCCTTAACTTCTGCTTGCTTCCATCCTCATGTTGATAATAGGGCTCTACCCTTTGCCTTTATGACCATCTAGACTCTATTCCCTATTGCTTTTCTCATTTTGACACTAATGATTTCTTCACTCACCCATTTCTGACCCTAAACACCCTCCCATAGTTTTCAGAGGGCTTTTTGGACATCCTTACAGCACAAACATCCTATGCAAGCGTGACCCAAATGTAAACAAGGGCAGGGAAGAAAGATAATTTTCACATGCTCAGATCAACAAGGCAGAAGCTTTTACAATTAAATCTGACCTGATGTAATGACATGCAAATTTTTCCCAACTCCAGGACAGTCAGGTCCAGGAGCAATATACAGGGTATCCCTCCCCCAAAAATGTATACACACTTTGGCTGCCATTATTAACTCCAATGCATTAAATCTGAGTAGAAAGAAACATCAATTGAGCTATCAACTGTTACAGTGTGTATACATTTTGGGGGGACACCCTATATAAAGAGCCAGATGACCACATTGTTTCCTCAGAGGGTCCATGAAGACCAATTCCTTAGCAAGCGTCTATTTGAGAGCTGTGTGATTTAGTGGAAACCACCATGACTTTGACTAACTCCTCTGTGTGGTTTCTCCTCACTTAGGCCTCTGTGGGACTTTCTTTCCTCTGTGCCTTTCGTGTCAGATTGCCTCTGACATGAACGAGTGCTGCCTCTGTGGATTGTCTGTCGCCATAAGGACCATGTATCGAACCCGATACGGCATCCCGGTGAGTCCCCCAAGGGTCCACGGTGAGGGGGTCGCCCAGGCACATCAGGGCTTCCCTTTAGTCTGACTGGATCTCGGGACTGCCCTCCTCACCTTCATGCTTTGACGTAGTCTTTCCTCCACCACCATCCTAAACTTTAAAGTGACTCAGAGGGGCAGTGTGGCTATCTATACTTTGGAATATATTTGTAATAAAACCTTTTATTGACCCAGTAGCTGTGTCTCTGAAAAAGTTGCTGGTGGTGAATAGGCGAGGGGTAGAGGCCAGCACAGGACCCTTAGCCTCTCCTGGCTCTACCCAGAGTCAGACAGGACCCTGAAGTCTGCAGGGCAGGTGACAGTTTCTCATAGAGCCTTGGGTAAAAATGAGTGTGCAGGGGATCCTCTTAGAGCCGGCATGCTTGGCTCATTGGTAACTCATAAACTAGCGTTCATTAATTAAAAAGGGACTACTGAACTCTGGCTGGTTTGGCTCGGTGGTTAGAACATCTGCCCATGGGCCCTTGAAGGGCCATGGGTTCGATTCCCTATCAAGGTCATGTACCTTGGTTGCAGGCTGAGTGTGTGGGAGGCAACCAATCGATTTGTCTCCTTCACATCTATGTTTCTTTCTCTCTCTACCCTTCCTCCCTCCCCTCCCCTCTCTCTAAAAAAAAATTGGTGGAAAAAATATCCTCGGGTGAGGATTAACCGAAAAAAAAGACTACTGGGCACCTAGAACCTTGTTAAATTATAAGCCGGTGTTCATTTATTCAACAGGGATGTATCGAGGGCATAGAACATGCCAATTATTATTACAGGTGCTAGAGACGCACCAGTGAATCAAGGAGATGAAAATCCTTGTCTTCGCGGAGCCTGCATTCTCTCATTTTTAAGCCTTTTTAACGTAATTCAGACTTAATGAAAGGTTGCAAAAATAGTACAAAGACTTCCTGAAAAGTCTTTGCCCAGATTCCCCAAATAGTAAAAATTTGCCACACTTGTTTTGTTTTTCTATCTGTTTTTTTCTGAATCATTTGAGGGTAGATGACAAACTTGGTGCAGTTACCTCTATTTCAGTGTATTTCTTAAAAAACAAGGACATTTTCTCATACAACCATAAAACAATGACCAAAATCCGGAATTTAACATTGATACAATACTAGTAGCTAATCTGTGGGTCTTATTTCAGCTTTACCAGTTATCCCAACACCATCCCTTAGGTGAAAAGAAAAGCAATCTGGGATCACACATTATGTTCAGTTGCCACACCTTTCCTACAACAAAAAACGTTTCTCAGTCTATCTTTGTCTTTGTCTTTTCTTTTCTTTTTAAGGAACACAGATGAGTTATTTTGTAGACTATCCCTCACTTGTTTTGTCAAATGTTTCCTCATGATTAGACTAGGTTATACATTTTTGGCAGAAACTCCACAGGAGCTATCCTGTGTTTGCTGTAGTACATCGTATCAGGAATCACATGACACCCCCTTATCCTATTATGGGTGCTGTTAATTTTGATTACTTGGTTAAGATAGTGTCTCCCAGAATTCTCCACTATAACATTGCTACTTTCCCCTTTATAACTGATAAGGATCTTGTAGGGAGATGTAAATATCCTGTTCATCAAACTTTCACCCACTAGTTCTAACATTCATTGAAGATTTTTGCCTGAATCAGTTATTATTATGATGGTTGCCAATGGTAGATCTTACAATCTAATGGGAAAAGATATTTACAGTATAACTAAGTAAAAGTATAATGTACAGGAGGAGGATGTGCTACAGAGAAAAAGCAAGGAAGAGGAATGGAATGTTGAAGTTTCTCATTTTAAATAGGGTTACCAGGAAAGACCTCAGTGAGAAAGTAAAGACGTGAAAAGAGGAGAGGATGACTCATCTGAAAAAGGTTCAGGCAGAGGAAAGAGCTAAACCAAAGGCCTTGAAGTAGAATTTACCTGGAATGTTCCAGAAACAATGGGGGGGGCAGGAATAGAATGTCAGTGGAGAATGGAAGAAATAGATGTCAGAGCATTAGCAAGGGCCTTGGAGACTATAAACACTTTTACTCTGAGTGAACTTGGAAGTCACTGATAAGTGACATGATGGGTTCTTGTCCCTGAAAACTTAATCTCTGCCACACTCATAGCTCCCGAGTGACAGAGAGCAAGTTGTTAATCTTCCTAACCTTGGCTCCCTCACTGATAAAATGATAATAATGATACCTTCACTATGGTGGTATAGTAAAAGTCACATAAGATAATGCATGGAAAAGGCTTAGCACAGAGCCTGGCAAGTAATAAGTGCTCAATATATAAGTTATCATTTTTGTTCTTATCTCAGAAAATGACTGAGCTGTTTTCCCAGGGCAGGGGTGCGTCCAGGCCCTGACTTCATTTCTCCCATGTGCTTGCTCAGCACCTGACTTTCTCAGCACTGCCTGTGGCTCTCATGTATGCTACTCACAAGGAGCATAACACATGCGAGCTCTTAACTTCGTGACTGAACCAGGAACTTCCTGAAATTATAGGCAAAGTATCATGTGTCTGTAGTTATGTATATGGGTGTGAGGTGGGTTTCTCAAAGTGATCCCTGACCCCAAAGTGGTACAGGAAAAGCACTTAGCTGGATTTTGGAGATAAAGGTTCTGGGAACGCTCAGCAAGTGGCTAATTTTTTTACTCTGGGAAATCATTTGGCAGCATTGGTTCTCTTATCTGTCATGAGGAAGTTGTGCAAGATGATTCTAAGGTCACTTCTAGGTCTAGGATTCTAAGACAGAATTCTTGGCTTATGTTAAATAAGTGTATTTATAGACAGTGTATCTCTACTCTTCCTCCTCATAACGGACCTTTAAAATGGTGAGTAATTTCTAGGGCTAATTTGTGTAATGCAGATTTTCTGCTTTGTTTCCCTTTTACATCTATGCAAACTTTCCCTGGGGCTGCTACAATGCAGCCTCTGACTGATCTGTCTCTCCCTTGGCGGACCCCAGGAGAGGGCATCCCTTAGGCCAGGGAAGGGCACAGCCTCTGATGGAGAGAAAGAAGGAAACAACCACCATGTGCTGGGATAGGATTTTGACTTATAATTGCTCATTTACTTACGGACTCTGTGGTGCCAGGACTGTCATCTCCACTTTATAGATATGGAAACCAGGCAGGAGACAGGCTAAGGTCACAGAACATGGAAATGCTGGTTTTGCCACTTTATCATCCTGCCTCTGAGTTGGTGTGTGGTCAACCCTGTGCCACAAATCATTCATTTATCGGCTCAGTCAATGATTCAGCAAATAGTGCTGATAACAAGACCCTTTTTAACCAGCAAAGTACTAGTTCAGTTTAACAAACAGAGTAGTGAACAGAGTCTATTTCTGGCACCTGTTTCCCGAGAAGCCATTCCGCTCAAGGCATTTGTATCCCTCATTACCTTCAGCATGATGCCAACCTGTAGTTCATTTCCTCTCTCTTTGAAAAAGGAACGTTTTCTCTTCTCTGTGGTCTCTATATCTATATTATGAAACAGACTTAGGATCAGGTGTGTTTTGTACAGCTTTCCCTAGGTTTCTCAGCAAACAATAGTGGGATTTCCCCCCGAAAAACTACCTGAGGTGAAAGGCAGGCGTAGACATGCTGGAACAGAAAAGTAATTAGATCCTATGAAATGAGAATATTTTCTTCTTTGTGGCATAGTCTATGTATTCAATAATGGTGGTTTAATGAAGGTTTAAAAGATAAAAAACAAATAAAAAATAATTAATTAATTAAAGACTGAAAACCGCAAGTCCTATGAGGAAGAGGTAAAGGAATGTGGATTATTTATCAGGGGAAAAGAGGCGGCTATGAGACTGAATTGTCTTCAGCTGAATATCCACTCCTCCCTCTGACGAGGGGCACAACATTAGATGAGGTTAACATTGCTATTCATTTGTCTTCTTTTTGTCCCACATGCTTCTGATGCTAGAGGAGAATCAAAACCACTGTAGCAATAAAAAATTTTCATAAAAAATAGAGCACTCATAATCTCAACTTTTAGGAGCTCTTAACCCTTATAGACTGAATCTACGTTAGTTATCTCTTTCTTTCTCTTTCTCTCTCTGCTCACACTGTAAATTGGGAATTGTATTTACTCTACATTTAAAAAAAAAAATAGTGCTATCAAAAAACGGAGCTCAAAATTCTTTCAAGACACATCGACATAGAATCTGGTTGTCAGACTACAGGCCCTTGGATCAGTGCCTCGCGTACAGAGCAGGATCCCTCCAAGGGCATCTCTACCAGAGGGTCAGTGAGAGCCCAACTGGACACTTCCAGAGAGACGATTCTCAAAACTTGGCAAAGCAGCCCATTCTGTGGCTTTTCCAAACATTATCTATTCTCTTTCTCCCCCCATAATTATATATCCCTCCCACACTTTGGACTTCCTCCCTTGCGGAACATGAGAGATGCCAACGAAAATGGCTAGAGGGACCAAGATGAGGCTTGGTCTGGCACTGCTCACCAACTATAGAAAAATTGGTGCATTACACACCTGGTTTTATTATTTATTTAATTTATTTATTTTTAACCCCTCACCCAAGGATATTTTTTCCATCGCTTTTCAGAGAGAGTGAAAGGGAAAGAGAGAGAGAAACATCGACGTGAGAGACACACATTGATTGGTTGCCTCCCACTCACGTCCTGGCCAGGGCCAGGGTGAGCCTGCAACCAAGATACATGCCCTTGGCCAGAATTGAACCCAGGACCCTTCAGTCTGCAGGCTGACGCTCTAACCACTGGCCAAGCGAGCCAGGGAAGAACTGATTTTAAAGGTAACCATTCCAGAGTAGACGATAGAGGACTGGGGCGATCACTGTAACCTGCAGAGGCTTTGAAATGGTGTAATGTTATGAAAAGGGCACTGGCTTGAGAAGAGGAAGACCCAGCACGACCACCAATTTGCCAAGTGATCTTAGCAAGTTTTTTAACTTCTCTGGGTCATCAGAAAAAATAGGGATAATGTCACAGAGTTCTCATGATAAACAAGTGACAAAATGTATGTTTTAAAGAGGTTAAAAAAGCTATACAAATGCAAGAAATTGTATGACTATATTTATAGGCTACATGTTGGCTCATTTGTCTGTTTTTTCAACAGGGATCCATTTGCAATGATTTCCTAATGATGATGTGTTTCACTAACTGCGCCCTTTGTCAACTCAAGAGAGACATTGAAAAAAGAAAAGAAATGAATGCTTTTTAAAAGATGATTGGTACGTTGGTGGAAATTCTTTGATTTATGAGTATCCAAATAAATTTCCAAAGACATCTTTTATTTCCTGGGTACTCTCTCACAGATCCATGAGATACCCCTTAACAAACAGAGGCCAAATGATTTTTAAATGCCAGCCTACACCAATCAGTTGGTAGTCAGCTTTCCAGAGCCTTGATTAAAAGGACTAAGCCTGGTTGGATAGGAAAGAATTTTGTGCCTTTTTTAAGATGTCTGCCACAACAGGAGTGAGCATGTGATGTACCAAATAAATGTGTCACATATCAACCATGCCCATCTTAGATACACCGTAACTTAAGGCAGTAGAGATATGTGTATGACCAGATGTTCATCTGCCTAAGCCTAGATCTCAGTCCACTGCTACCAACAATAACCAACTGAGATGTTATGCTAAGTGTAACTGTGTAATGTACCTAGTTATATGTTCGTATCAATACTACAATATTAAAATGATAATTCATTCTCCAAAGTAGTGGAAGCTATTTGAGTTTCTATAAATTAAGTGTGGATAATTCACTGAGTTATCCAAAATTCCCAAAACCCCCACTATGAAGAGGGATTACTGACTTTTTGGTGGCTGTGTTGTCCAAGTTGAGCAGCTACCTGAGCTTTCCTGATCGCATGTTTAATCTCAGTTCTTCCTGTTTCTCTCAGGCAAGAGGGCAATGGCTTACTCAATCTTGTCTTTTGATCTCTTCTGCCAATCCCCATAAAATTTGTAACCAAAGTTTAGTTTTCACATAGAAATGGCTATTCTCTGTAAAAGTCCTGTCTCCCAAGAGGTTTCTGAGAGTGATCAGGATGGTGCAGTCATGTGTATGATCAGTTGCTGTGGATACAATCTGTCTCTCTTTAAGCTATTTTTGCCACATGCAGCACAAAATAATGTCATCTTCATGAACCATGCTTCAGTATGTTGCATTTCAATACCATTTTAGTACCCTCGTAGTTGCCTGATTGTTTTAAATGGCTTCCCTCAAAGACTGAGGCATTTAACTCACTCTCAAGCAAAGTCAAGATGAATTTTCATATCATTCTACCTTACTTCCTAAGAATTGATGATTATCTCTCTCCCCAAGAAGCTAGGCTTTTTTAAAGGCCTATGTTACCAATTTGACTCAGGATTCAATGCCAAAGTTGCCCTTAGGGCATTAGAATGGGGCCGTTGACTGGTCTAGTCATCATGAAAAAGATTGTTTTTGATTCTCTGTCACATGTTTGATGATTCTTTGTCATTTGGTGACAGAAGTTCATTCTGGCAATCTACAGAGCATTCTGGTGGTTCACTCAACCACCTAGCAATAGTGCCTGACACACAGTAGGCACTTAATAAATGTTGTGGATATAAAAATGGACACAAGTTTCAACCAAGGGAGCAAACTGAAGCCCTAACCTAGGAGGCTCATCTAAATCCTAACTGATCGTCATGACTCTTCCTAATAAATTGTACTTAACACGGGGACATTGTTTGATGTAGATTTTAAATATGTAGCAATTTGGCAGTACAGTAGGGGTAGAATGGAAGTTTTTATATTTGGAACAGGATAACCTAAAGAAAGATGGAACCAATAAATCCTAATTCTTTCATTCATTCATTCATTTTTTTCTTTTATTTTTTTCTGATTCCTACAGGTAAAATTTACATGTGGTGAAAGAAAATGCTGGAATGAAATACTGCATTTATTAAGTGCTATCTCTCCTCAAATATTAGAAATTAATTCAACTAATCATATGGATTCAGATGGCTTCAAAACATTTTAATTTCTAGTTAATTATGAAAGAAATATATTTCCACTGTCATTCTGAAGAGAACTGCCATTAAAAAATAATAATTCCTTCAACAATTCTTGTGTCTTTAAATACTGCTTTATGGGAAATTACAATAAGCTTTTTTAAAAAATGAGCCCAAGCAGCAAGGTTCATTTTGTCAAAGGTGACCCAAGGTTGTCGAATGTCAAAGTTGAATAACTTTTCCACCTTTACATATGTTTGAAAATGTCCACAATAAAACGATTTTCAAATGTTGTCAAGTGAAAAGCTTTTATTATTTTGGATTTTCCCTCCAGTGGATGTGTGGGGCCCTCACCCAGGCGAGTGTGGTTTCCTCCCTTTGGGAGCCTGAATGCCTTCCGCACTTCTTTACAGCCTCCTAAAAGTAAATCCATCCAGGAAGTGTCTGCTGAGCAATGCAGGGCTTACTCTAGATTATATAAACAGAAGAGAATTTCTGTCTTAAGTCACACAGCACCTCCTAATTAAAATTCCCATTAGGCATTCCTGTCCCCTCCAAAGTCATCTCCAGCAGTAAGTCAGCCACAGGGGCTCCACACACCTTTCCCCCTCCCCCAGGTCAATGTGGCGTTTTATTATTTTTATTGAGACATGATTGACATAACATTGTATTAGTTTTAGGTGCACCACATAATGATTTGTTATATGTATATATTGAAAAATGATCACCATAATAAGTTGAGTTAACATCCATCACCACACATAGTTACAATTTTATAAGATGTACTCTCTTGGCAACTTTTAAATATGCGATAGAGGGAGGAAACAAGCTGGCAGCGTACGTAACAGCTGCACCTGCCGCCTCGCGCAACCACATCAAAATTACAACTAAAATCCAGAACCACCATCACTCAGAGCCTCCTGAGATCTGGCTGAACAGAAGCCCCACAGCCAGGGAGCTGAAGGAGCATCGAGAGCGGGAGGAGGGGCGGAGACGCGGGGGATTGAGACCTGGGTGCCGGCCCACCCCAAGTGCTGGGGTTAAACCCTGGAGGGCATCTCAGCGGTAGAGGTTTCCCAGAGGAATGAGGGGTCCCAGCCCCACAGCAGGCCCCAGCCCAGGGCTCCAGGGCTGAAAAAAGATGTCCCCACAACTCCGGGCTGTGAACCCAGAGGGGACTGTCCCTGAGGGTCG